TATTATTATTATTATTATTATTATTATTATTATTATTATTATTATTATTATTATTAATTTGTTCTCCCTTTCTCCAATGCAACCCTGACTATCCTTTCCAAAGGCTATAAATAACCATTAAAAAAGGCTTTCTCTGGAATCTAAAATAGCTCCTGAATCCAAAAGGGTTTGAGGCAGCTGCTGCTGCTGCTACATTCAATTCGCACAACGCAGCCCGCCGGCCTCTTTGAAGCCCTCCACAACTTCCAAGATGGAAATTATCTTTCAATTATCTCCTGCTTTTCTCTCCCTACCTTTCCTAGTCAACGTCAGTAATACTACTATTAAATTTGCAGATGATACAATAGTGATGGGACTCATCTCCAGGGGGGGTGGATGAGTCTGCTTATCGAGATGAGGTGGACCGGTTGATTTCGTGGCATGGAGAAAATAACTTGGCCCTCAACACCAATAAGACCAAGGAGCTTATAATGGACAGAACAGATCGGACATCCAGCCCTTGCTTATCCATGGAGGCCGAGGGGAGCTAGTGGCCAGTTTTAAGTTTCTGGGTGTTGCCCTAAAAGAGGACCTGACCTGGGAGCGCTCACATTGCAGCCCTGGTCAAAAGGGCCCAGCAGAGATGATACTACCTGGGACTGAATGAAAACTGCTGGCGACCTTCTACCGCTGCACCATAGAGAGTATTTTAATTTACGGCACACCTGTGCCCGGTTTGCTAATTGCACAGTGTCAGATAGGAAAGGACTCCGGAGGGTTTAACGTCATTGCCCAGAGGATCATTGGTTGCCCTCTCCCCTCTTTGGAAGAGCTTTATAGCTCCCGCTGCCTTAAGAGAGTTCAAAACATTCTCAAAGATCCACCTCATCCTGGGAACCCTTTTTTTTGAACTATTACCATCTGGCAGACGGTACAGGACAATAGAAACAAGGACAAATAGGCTGAAAAACAGCTTCTATCCCAGGGCAGGAGCTCTGTTGAATTCTAGTGCAATATTAATGCAGTATCAGGGGTTTTCAATTCAATTGCATAGAATATGATGGATGTGCGTCTTTGTTTTCTTTTTATAGTTTTCTTATGTGCGATGTACACTGAAGATGGCACTTAGTTTCATTGTAGGAGGTGCAATGACAATACAGTAAAACTAAATAAAGGCTCAGCCCAATGGGCCTCATTCGGTGACGTCTTTCCCCACTGATGGGATGGGCTGCCCCAGGAGGCTGCCCTGTTGTGTCTCTTGCCTGAATCCCCCGCCCCCAACTCTGGGCCGAGAAGGGCTCCGACGTCGCTCACCAGCCGGGAGCTGGATAGCTGGGCGGGCTGCGTGGCGGATGCTCTACCTTTGGACGATTCGTGCCTGAGGCAGTTTGTAAGGGAGCTTCCTATACGTTGGCTCGTCCTCCATGCTTTGGAGTTTGGCTTGCAAGGTTCGGACCTCGGCTTGGCTTTTCAGGAGGAAGATGCCTCGGCCTTGGTTGGAGCTGGTGGGCTTGCAGATCCAAATGTGAGGCTCTGTGGAGAAGGAGAAAGCTGCTTAAGTTGCTAGTCCCTGGGGTTTAGAGCCCGAGAAGCTGGCAGGATCACACTGGGGGGGGAAAAAAGGCAGCCGCCCAGCCTTGTAAGAGAACAATGAGGTTGCTCTTTGGATGTCAAATTCGGCATGGGAAGACCCAGCTTTGTATAAAGGCCACCCAGGGGTGGTCAAAAAAGTCAAGATGGCAGAGGCAACCACACCACTGAAGTCCTGGCATGAGTCAAAGGAGGCCACTCTCTTGATTTTTCTGATTTCTATGACTTCAAAGCGCGATGTTGTTTTTCTCATCATTATGATTACCTTTATTGTCAGAGTACAACATATGTACAATGAGATTGGCTGAGCCTCCCTTCGTACACTCCCACCAACACAACTCCCAGTGAAGACAGAAGCCCCTAACCCAGTCCCAATCTTATTACACAATGTGACCTTGTTGCACAACACGCCGGCCCTGCAAGTCTATCCTACTATGTTGACATGAAGATATTTTCCATTCAGAAGTCTGTAAGTCGAAGGCTACCTGTATTTTCTTTCCACCTGTTATTTCGTCTTCTTGTAACAAGAGAGGTTGGGGAGCAAAGCAGGGCCACCTGTGCCTTTCCACCCGTGACGAATGCCTGTGACATCCCAGGAATCATGACATCATCAAGCAAATGACATCACCATGTAGGTGATGTCACTTCCTTGACTTGGCCCCCTCCCTCTGGGCCACATTTGAATAACAAAATCCCAACCCGCTCCTGTCTTTGCTTGCAGAACCCACTGTTTGAGATAGATTAATGATCTTGGAAAGGGAGACAGAACCATTGCTTTGGTGTTCACCTTTATATATTTCAAAGAAGATTTCTCTCTCGTCTTTGGTGTCCAGGCGAAAAGTCTCTGGGAAAAAATCTTCCATTTTTAACAATCTGCAAGAAAGGGAGAGTGGGGTGAAAAATTGAATAGTAATAAGCTCACACACAGACATGTTTTAAAGAATTTATAGCAATAGAATAGAATAGAATAGAATAGAATAGAATAGAATAGAATAGAATAGAATAGAATAGAATAGAATAGAATAGAATAGAACAGGAGTTGGAAGGGACCTTGGAGGTCTTCTAGTCCAACCTCCTGCCGAGGCAGGAAACATTTCAGACAAATGATTATCCAACATCTTTTTTAAAACTTCCAGTGTTGGAGCATTTATAGCTTCTGGAGGCCAGTTGTTCCACTGATTAATTGTTCTAACTGTCAGGAAATTCCTCCTTAGTTCTAAAGTCACTTCTCTCCTTTGGTTCTTGTCCTGCCTTCTGGTACTTTGGAGAGTAGCTTGACTTCCTCTTCTTTGGGGCAGCCCCTGAGATATTGGGACACTGCTATCCTGTCACCCCCTAGTCCTTCTTTCCATCAGACTAGACATACCCAGTTCCAGCAACCAGCCTCCAGTCCCCTAAACAATCTTGCCAGAGAGGCCAGCCATCATTTCTGTCATGTGCACTCGGGATACCCATGCCTCCTTCATATGGACTAACATTCTTTCTCAATCTAATTTTGGCTTGCGAGAGACAGCTTTGTGTTTTCTGCTGAGAACCGCATATCAGCTCAGCTCAGCTAGCCCCAAAATGGCTCATTCACAGTTTAGAAAGGGAAGAAGGTTGTTGTTTACCTTTTGAGGTACAGTGTTGATTAAAAAAAAAAAAAACCAGAATAACAAGAGTTGGAGGTCCTCTAGTCTGCCCTCTGCTCAAGCAAGAGACTATAGCATTCCAGACAAATGGTTCTCCAACCTCTTTTTAAAAAACCTCTGGTGATGAAGCACCTACTTCTGAAGGCGAGTCGTTAATTGTTCTGCGAGGAAATTTCTCCTTAATTCTAGATCGCTTCTCTCCTTGATTATTTCCCATCCATTGCTGGGGGACATAATTTCAATATAATGTTTAGGACATAATTGGACATAATTTCAATAGTGTTTCGCCCTTCGTTAGGAATCTTGTTCCTTCTCGGCGTGTGGATTATTGAGTTTTCAATGGTTATGCTATTTTATGACACCGTCAATAGCAGCCATGCCAATACATCACCGGCTCTCAGACGTTAAGAGAACAGGCACAGAACTTTAAAGAAGTTTTTCAAACTTTCCTGTTTGGCTTCATGGATGATGGTGTCCTTGGCAGTTCCAAAATAATGCAAAACTGCTTTTTCAGGAGGATTTTTAATTCTAGCCTACGTCTCTGGGTGGTCTCCCATTCGAATTTTAACTAAGCCAAGCCTCAATTTACAAGCACAATTGAGCCTAAAATTTCTGTTGCTAAGTGAGTTTTGCCCCATTTCCAACCTTTCTTGCAACACAAATGAATCACTGCAGTTGTTAAGGTCATAACCTGGATGTTAAGGGACTTTGGTTTTTGGAATGTTGCAAAAGGGAATTGTGTGACCTCTGCCAACCGTCGTAAACAGGAGTCAGTTGCCAAGCTCCTGAATTTTGGGCTCAGTTGTGGTTGTAAGTCAAAGACCACCTGTATGAAACGTTGGTCCCTGTTGGGAGGAGGCATCAAATAGGGAATTAGCCTGGACTCCTTCCATAGACCTTAGAGGGCAAGGTCTGGCCTTTGAGCCTTATCTGGATGAATCTGCCAATCTGCCAAGATTCCTGTAATATAGGCACAGAACAATAAAGCGTAGAGTTTGAACTCTACGCATGTGGATCTGGTTGTGTAGGCCTGACACTGAAGGGATTTTTTATCAGCTGAACATGGTGCTATCTCCTTTGGGTCAGCACATGGTGGGTTTTCTGTCCATTTTGGAAAATCTAACCCCGCCCTTTGAGCTTCAAGAACTCTGCGATGAATGATGGCCGTCCTTGGGCTTCACAGGAGAAAACCAGCCCCATGAAGCTTTCTTTTCAAGGGATACCCGAAAGGTTAAGAGAGTGAAGGGGCTTACTTGGCTGTCTGGCCGACCTTCTTCATCACCCGTTCATATTCCCGGAGGTTCATCAACAGGCTGATCTTTGTGGTGAGGATCTTGTTGTTTGGGATCTGGTAGAGAAGCTGCTCTCCTGAATGGGCAGAAGAAGACAACAAAAAGAAACCAAAGGCTCAGGCAGCAGAGGAGATAAAGAAGGCATTATAGGCCTGGCTTAACGACCGGTTATGACGGACTGATGTGCTCTGAACTAAAAAGGTGACCTAGTTGGGTAATGAACGCCTGTGAGAAACACCACTCAGCTCAGAGAGCCCCAAGGGCCTCCTCCACCTCCATTCCTCAAACCCCACTCCCTTCAAACCCTGATGATGTTACCTAGTTTGGTAATGAAATGTCTGCAAGAAAACCATCAAGGAGGCCACAATCCTCCACCCTGATAACCCCACTCCCTTCTAGTACTGATGATGTTACATAGTTGGGTTAGGAAACGCCCGCACGAAAGCAACCAAGCTCAGAGAGCACCAAGGATCTCACCGTCCTCCTCCTCCTCCTCCACCTCCTCTCCACAAACCCCACTCCCTTCTGGCACTGATCAGGTCACCTAGTTGGGTAATGAAATGTCTTGAAAGGAAACAGCCAAGCTCAAAGACACCAAGGACCCCACAATCCTCCCCACTCCCTTCTAGCCCTGATGATGTTACCTAGTTTGGTAATGAAATGTCACTGCCCCATACCTTCTCGGAAGTTGCAATAGGTGTCCCGAAACTTGGTCTCGCACCATTTCAAGACGTAGTCTTCCCTTCGATTGTCATGAATCCTTTGCCACCCTTTACTTTTGCAGTAATTACTCAGGCTGTGGGAGAGAAACCAGGAGGCCTTGTGGTGAAGAGACGAAAAGATAATCCTCTAGAAATGCAGGCAGTCCTCAAACTTATGACCACAACGGAGCCAGAGTAAACAAGGCAGTTATTGATTCCCATTTCGCAACCCTTTTTGCCGCCTTCCTTAAGCGAATCGCTGCGGCTGTTGAGTGAATCCTGCAGTTGTTAAGCGAGTCGGGCTTCTCCCATTGTCTTCGCTTGTCGGAAGCCGGCAGGGAAGGTTGCAAAAAGCCCAAATTTAGATCACGTGATGTAAAATTTTAAATTGGGTTGCAGCAACGAGGATGCTGCAACCCAATAATAAGTGTGTAAACAGGGGATCGGTCACTTTTTTTCAGTGCTGTTGTAACTTCCGTCACTAAACAGATTGGCTGTAAGCCGAGGACAACCTGTAATAGCCAGTCGATCCCAAAACCTTTCTCTTCCTAAGTTCAGGGTCCTACAGCTGAGAGGGCAAAGGCAAAGGCCATCTAGTACACCCCCTCCTTGATGTAGCATTCCCCCACCCCTCAAGGGCTGGGGGTACCAAAGGCTCCCTCCTTACATATCAACCCCATTCGCCCCGCCGATGTAAAAGAACGGCCCCGATCCTGGGCCTTCTTCATTTCTTCTCTCTTCCAGGTGACTCATTCGGAGCGCTGCGTTCAGGAAGGCTCTGGGCTTCTTTGATCTGAATTCATATGTGAACCTCCCTTCGGCGACTCTGGGAACCCCTGGAAAGGAGAAGGAGGAGGTGTAAACCCTCTTGGGTCCAGCTAGGCCATGGGGAAGGGAGGGTTGGAGAGGGGATGGTGGGGGAAAGCTAGCTCTTTTCTGGAGAAATACTCATCAGGGGGTGCCAAGGGACTGGTTCTCCATCCTTGGCCCCTTTCCGACAGCTCCCAGAATTCTCCAGCCTCAATTCTCCAGCCTCCTACCTCTGGAAGCTGCCCAGATGGGGAATAACAGAACAATGGGAGGGACCTTAGAGGTCTTCTAGTCCAGCCCCCTGCTCAAGCAAAAAACCCTATACCATTCCAGACAAATGGCTGTCTGAAGGCAAACAGTTCCACTGGTTGATTGTCCTGTTAGTTTCTCCTTAGTTTCTTCTTATTTCCAGGTTGAATCTCTCCTTGTTCAGTTTCCATCCATTGTTCCTTGTCTGGCCTTCGGGTGATTTAGAAAATAGCTTGACCCTTCCTCCTCTCTGTGGCAACCCCTCCCTCAAATATTGGAAGGATGCTCTCCTGTCTCCCCTGGTCCTTCTCTTCCCTAGACTAGCCAGGCCCAGTTCCTGCAACCATTCATCGACTGTTTCAGTCTCCAGTCCCCTAATCATCTTTCTTTCTTTCTTTCTTTCTTTCTTTCTTTCTTTCTTTCTTTCTTTCTTTCTTTCTTTCTTTCTTTCTTTCTTTCTTTCTTTCTTTCTTTCTCTTTCTTTCTTTCTTTCTTTCTTTCTTTCTTTCTTTCTTTCTTTCTCTTTCTTTCTTTCTTTCTTTCTTTCTTTCTTTCTTTCTTT